CAACGAAACACACAGTGCCTTCACGACATGGCGGCAGCAACAATACTACAGCGAGAATAAAAGTTACACCTTCTTTCTTTGCGCGTGCATGCAAATCTTTTCACATAGTGATGTAGATATGTGGGGGCGTGTTAGAACGAGCCGTTTTAGGTAGGCGTGGTTGACTCTTAACTTTTATAAAGAATATCTCTTTGGATTTGAGACTTTAGTCTTTGCAACTTTACAGATCTTCTTTATGCACCAAGAGCTTGTAACACTTCAAAGAGAAAGGAAAAACGTTAGGAGTTTGCCGACTATTGCCGAGGATTCGAGGATTTGAACGAGCCTGATATGTAAAGTTTCTTTATAACAAAAACAAAACATAGGCTCCTGGAGATATGCTTATGAATCGTTTTATTAAAAAGCCCTGGATTTTTATTAAAACATGGAAAAACCTGAATTTTAGCACGGTTTATTCTGCATGCAGATCATATTTTAAGTTGTTTAAGCGAAATCAAGGAGTTATTCTTTCTTTATACTTTAGACATGTAGAACATGTTTGAGCATCAGTGTCTGTAATGTGTGCGGTAGGTGCGAAACTTTTAGGAATCTTATCTAAGTTGTAGGTTAGTCAATAACTGGTCAGTATCTGACATAAAGGATCCGCGAATGAAACGGTGACCACTGACACCATTAACTTAAGTGAACGAAAGGCAATAATCAGCTGTGCATTCACATAAATAACTTTTTATTCGAATGTTTCAATATGTGTTGACACAAATGACTTTATTTGAATGTTTCATTGATATAACATGGCACCGAGTTGTTAGAAAAATAATGCGTAGTGACATTATTGCTTGACGACGCCAGGAACCGATGAATCGGCTTTTTGAACTGGTTCAATGAGCCGAACTGTCCGAAAAGAACCGGCCCGCGGAAAAGAATCAGACTTGGCATAACTACTGTATATGGGTATTATTTTTGCCATTGTGCTCTGGTCTCTCTCTTCCTCACTCTGCTTGCCTTGCAGTTAATTAGCCACACCTGATGCTTGTTAAGAGTGTAGGCCTACTGCAGAGTGTGCCGCTACAAAAGAGCAGAGTGAATGCTGCTTGAGGAGGTTCACTTCTTTCCTGCACCAGACATGTGTTCCAGATACTGAGTGTAGAATGTTTTGTTGATCGTCTTTGCATTGGAATTAATTAACATTCTTTTACTTGAGCATCCTATTCCGATCAAAACTTCAGCACATACAAAGTGCCCAGTCACCTAAGACATGATCTCTAAACATTTTTTAAAAAACCCTGAAAAAATCTCTATCCTTTGACAATTTTTTAAAATATATTTTTATATTGTTAATACTAACTAGATAGTTGTTGCACCAAATCATAAAGCAACTGTATATCTTCATGAAAACATGACAAGACTCTCGTTTGTTTAAAAAGTATTTATTGTGCTGCAAAGAAACAAAATTATATGAGAAAATGGAAAACATTTGCTGTGCTACAGGAATTCTGAGTCAACTTTTCATCTACCCTTTTTTATAAATCTGCAGTATCATGACCCATGTTGACATTATTATTTTTTACATGAACATTAAACACCAGTAGTACACAAACTCCAGAAGAGTTGATATTTCATGTAGAAAAAAAGCATTAGAGGGTGGAGAGGGGAAACGGGGACACATTTCTAGAAGCTCCTTGGGCTTCAATTTCTTGGAACAAATAAACTTGCTTAGCATCTTTTTGAAAAACCGACATTGGTGTGCTCTCAGAAGAACCAAAATAAAAAAAAAGAACAAACGGACACTCTATAAAGTCTTGAACTTTGAAACGCTCTTTGAGAGATCGACACAACACAAACATTTGTGATTTGAGCTGCGTCTTCCGCTAAGTTCAGTTTTTCTGCTCAACAATAAATTATTAAGGTCATAGACAATATATTACATCTCTAATTCTTATTCTCTCCAAACCTTTTTTGTATTTTTTTTTATTCGACTTTTTTTTTGTACGTTTTGGCGAGTGACACTCAAGTATTTACAACAATACTTAGAGAATGCACTAAAAAAAAAGAGACTCCCCTGTAAGACCCAAATAAATGTGCAGGTCTGCCCTAATCAAATCCAGTCAGTGGTGTTCATTGGCTTTCATCCATGAACGCAAGCACAGTGTGTTCAGAGGCAATGAGGAGGAAATGATGTTTTGTGTGTGGAAATTGCATTTCAACTTGAAAGTGGGCTATGCACAGATTTCACATGGCTCATTAAATATGGATGACATCTTGCTGAAATGCTGTTGAGTTTATTTTTGTAAAGATGGTCAGGTCCTCCAGAGTAACGCTCTCTCCAGCGATCCAGTAATAATTCTTGTTTATCGTCTTTCTGATGCTTTTTGATTGGCCGTGACTGAAAGACATGACTACCAATCAATTGTTTAACTTCCACAAAACAGAAACACGGTAAAGAATAAACAGGAGCAAAGGTCCAGATCTCCGTAATTAGCCTTAAATCCTCAAGAGCAAGCCCATGCTTGAGTTAAAACTTACATCTCGGTTATATCTACACATTTATGTGCTTGAATTAAGACTAAACAGCGATTTTATAGCACTGTGGTCATAATACAGTAAGTGATATTGTGAACACATGGCTATTATTTATTACAGAATTGAACGTTGTAGCTAAAAAGTTCTGAAAATAATGTATCATTGGGTGAATCCCACAAAACCAACATCTGTGTCATATTTCAGCCCAACATCAAAAGAAGAAGAACTAAAGTAAAATAATTTTCTTAAAGAAAACAAAATCATTATTCATTTTTCATCGTCAATAATTCATGACAATTAAGCACATTCTTCATCACAACTATCATTACTGTAATACAAAAAAAATTCCTATTATTGTAATTAGGGCTGGGCGATAAAATGATAACGATAATTATCGTTATATAATTTTCCTCGATAAAACGATAACAAATGTTCGATATAATGTTAATGCGCCAAAAGTGGAATGAAACAGCACCACTCATTTGAAGCGCGCCACACGAACCGTTTATCCGCTCGACTCTACATTTAATTAAAAATAAATAAATAATAAATAAATAAAAATGTTCCAGAGAAAATGTGCTTAATTGTCATAAAAATAATGTCACAATGCAAATTGTGAGTTGAGAGACTCCCCTGTAAGACCCAAATAAATGTGCAGGTCTGCCCTAATCAAATCCAGTCAGTGGTGTTCATTGGCTTTCATCCATGAACGCAAGCACAGTGTGTTCAGAGGCAATGAGGAGGAAATGATGTTTTGTGTGTGGAAATTGCATTTCAACTTGAAAGTGGGCTATGCACAGATTTCACATGGCTCATTAAATATGGATGACATCTTGCTGAAATGCTGTTGAGTTTATTTTTGTAAAGATGGTCAGGTCCTCCAGAGTAACGCTCTCTCCAGCGATCCAGTAATAATTCTTGTTTATCGTCTTTCTGATGCTTTTTGATTGGCCGTGACTGAAAGACATGACTACCAATCAATTGTTTAACTTCCACAAAACAGAAACACGGTAAAGAATAAACAGGAGCAAAGGTCCAGATCTCCGTAATTAGCCTTAAATCCTCAAGAGCAAGCCCATGCTTGAGTTAAAACTTACATCTCGGTTATATCTACACATTTATGTGCTTGAATTAAGACTAAACAGCGATTTTATAGCACTGTGGTCATAATACAGTAAGTGATATTGTGAACACATGGCTATTATTTATTACAGAATTGAACGTTGTAGCTAAAAAGTTCTGAAAATAATGTATCATTGGGTGAATCCCACAAAACCAACATCTGTGTCATATTTCAGCCCAACATCAAAAGAAGAAGAACTAAAGTAAAATAATTTTCTTAAAGAAAACAAAATCATTATTCATTTTTCATCGTCAATAATTCATGACAATTAAGCACATTCTTCATCACAACTATCATTACTGTAATACAAAAAAAATTCCTATTATTGTAATTAGGGCTGGGCGATAAAATGATAACGATAATTATCGTTATATAATTTTCCTCGATAAAACGATAACAAATGTTCGATATAATGTTAATGCGCCAAAAGTGGAATGAAACAGCACCACTCATTTGAAGCGCGCCACACGAACCGTTTATCCGCTCGACTCTACATTTAATTAAAAATAAATAAATAATAAATAAATAAAAATGTTCCAGAGAAAATGTGCTTAATTGTCATAAAAATAATGTCACAATGCAAATTGTGAGTTGTCTTTAAAAAAAGGCTTGATTTTCTTCAAAATATAATATTTGATTTAGGGATGAAATGTGACTTGGAAGTGTTTTCAAGAGATTTACCAGATTACTGCTGCACAGGGTCCAACAAGGGTTTAGAAAAAAAAGAAAAGAAAGAAGGGCAACTTGTTCTACTAAAAAAATTAGTTAACAAATAAAACCAAAATAAGAAAGAAACACACAGGTTTCTTCTCTCTATATATAAAAGTGCCAAGTTGTATAGCTCTACAAACAATATCACATATAGATAAGATACAACCAAGACAAACTATCACAAATAACCAGCCCAACCCATTATCCCCTCCCACTCCCCGGCCCCTCGCCTTACCCCGTCCCCTCACTTCAACAGCTTATGTCCATCAACATTCCAGTAGTTCTGACACCTGAAGGGACTCCTGACAGGAAACAATGAAAAGAGAGCTTCATCATTCAGCTGTAAGATCACAATTCTCCGAATCACGAATCTGATCTTTAGATTTGGCTGTCCACACTGTCATTAGTAAAAATGTGATTTCTTGTGGTCTTATATTTCACACTACAAAAAAAAAAGCCAAAACATCTGTATTTTGCCTGTTAAACAAAGCCAAAGTGACTCTTATGGGCCCCCAAACCATTCAACTGAGCATAACTCTACGAGAAAACAAGAGGGAAAAAATACACAAAAATAAAGATAGAATGAGATGTTTGTCTTTCTTTCTGTATCATCATCGTCTGTGCTTTTTTAATTACCACTTGTTGCAACAACAGATTTTCTTTCGTCTGATTTTCCCTCTACTCATCTCTCTGCTGTGCTTCGTACACAGTCCAGCGTCTCCTCTGTCTCAGGGAAGTGAACGTCCCTCCTCGGCCTCTCGCCCGGCCTGGTTTCGTAGGCAGAGGAGCTTTGGTTCAGCATTAAGTGTTCACACAAGCACATGTGTCAAAAGTTATCGCTCCTAAAATAATTTCTCTCTTTTCCAACGGAAAAAGTTAGGAATGCAGGAAAAATATTGTTAAAAACAAACAAACAAAAACAACACCCCAGTTGTCCTAATCCCAAAAACGTTCATTTGACTTCACGACTACCTTCAACTTGTGCCTGAACATCAACGAAATATCACGCTTACACAAATGATGCTCAACCTACCATACCTCTGATTCACAAAAATATTCTGGAAGAGTCCTCTCCAATTTAACAATCACACTCCGTAATGGTTCGGTTACATAGGTGCGGCTTCCATCTCCTGGTGAGACTTTCGGGTGTCGACGTGTGATATATTTTTTCGATTTGTTTGGAGTGACTTATGTGAATAGTATAATTGTTATTCGGTATCAGGGTCTCTTCTCTGACCACTTGGTTTGGTGGCTTTGTCCATCTCTACAGTTTTTTTAGAGGTGTCCATGTGCGCAAAGGTTTGGCAGCTGAACACGGGCTCAGTCTCTCTCTTTCTCATTCACTCACTCTCTCTCTCTCTCCTGTGTCTCACGCGGTCTGGTAAAAGTTGTCAGCTTGCAGGTTGCTGTGTTTCTGCATGCTGTAGTAACCGCTGTATCTTGAGTCAGGATCTGCAATGCGTAGCATGCGTTGGGAGCTGTCCACCTGGACCTCCGTCCCCTTCTGGCAGTCCACATACACCAGCTGGTTATTGAGACATGTGGACTATACAGGACAAAAAAAAACACAGTGAGTCTTGGACCATGGAGAGAATTTTCTCACACTTATGCAGCAAAATGCTGGAATACACTACACTACTTTTGCCTAGATTTTTGTTCCGATTTGCAATCTTGTGGAGTCAATGCTGGGTGACAGATTTATACAGAAAATCACATAGTTTATCAAGGGCACAGACATTTTTTCATTTGTCATGCATTTCCTGCTAACGAGGAGCATGTTTCCGTGCAAATTTGTTGTGTTTGGACCAACTTGAAGGTCTGGTAGTGTGTGATCATCAATAACTAAAAATGTGATTGTATCCATGTAGTAATCTGTGACATATAGGTAGGCACCTTATTGTGAGTGCGGTAACAAGGCACAGGGATCCACTGCTTACGCTGGTTGACCAACAGCAGGGCGGCGATAGTGAGCATCACCATTAGGATGGGCAGTGCCACCCAGGCCCAGTGCAGACCAGCATCCTCACTGGGTAGTGGTGCCTTGCCGTCTAGGTAGGGCATCTGCAGACTTCCGAAGTCACCTGGAACAACCCACAACACACCCGTTGGCACATTTTGCACCTGACAGCAGTGACTCATTGAGCAACGACTCACTGGGGCGATGTAGAACAATTCAGAATTGAAACTGAAATGCAAGTACGGCTTGATTGTAAAAGCAGGTAATGTCAGACATCCATGTCAGCAATTAAGGCAAATGCCAGAGTCTTGACAGACAGACACCCACTCACATCAGCCTTAACAAAAGCAAAACGTGGAAAATCAAGAAGAAATTACAGATTGCTAACAGAGAAAATCAAAAAGAAACAAACAGCCAGCTTTGTGAAACTCTGAGTGAAGTTCGATTAAAATTACTTCAGAAGTTACAGAATTATCTTGCTAAGCACATGAAATTGCTCAACGCAATGAAATCAGGAGACATCCTAGTTAGCTATAGACAGGCTAACAGCTAAACTTAAAGGTGGGGTGTGAGAGAATTCTGATAGCCAATGTTGACATTTGAAATCACCAAAACAAACACGCCACTACCAACTGTAGTACCTACTAGAGCGTATGCAATTTCGGATGCAGCTTAGTTGTCCTGAACCAGAATACTGACTGTAGAAGAAGACAGTTTATGCTAAATCTCGTTATAGCACCCCTTGTGCCAACGCTAAGCATGCGATACATATTCACACGGCATTATGAATTGGACTTTTTGACCACTTCATTTAAAGAATCGGCTCATAAGAGTCATCTGTTTATGAATCAGACTACACTGGTTGTGCTGTATCTTTTTTGTGCATCAAGCTAAGACAAGACAACAAAGACTTGCTGTCTATATATCGTCTCGTACTCTTGTACAAACCTCTGAACTGTGGAATAATATCGTTTTCGCTGTGAGTCGGCCAGGCTGGTTGATGTCTCTGCTTGTCTCCTCGTTGGTCCGTCTTCTCGATGGGCACGTTTGTGGGAGCGTAACTCTCTGTAATTAAAACATCAGAGACATGGGGACACAAAGAAAGAAAGAAAGAAAGAAAGAGAGAAGAAGAGTGTGTTACAGAAAAACACACACCAAAACATATAATACAAATTGTAACTACATTAAAAGGAGTTAAGAAGTGCTCACTCAGAACAAACAAGATTTAGGTCAGCATGAAGTTGTGGGCCGCAGGCTAATTAAAAGCTCATCTTCAGAGCTGTCTTTGAGTGGGAAAGCACCAAAGGGTGAGTGATTACCCAGAGTGCACACGACACCACTCTCAACCCCCTCATTGATCCAGAGCCAAGTGACACAGCAATAAAGAGGGCCATGATCAATGACATTATCTCCCAAATGCAAAGAGAGCCAATTTAGCCTCTGTCCTGCTTCGACTTAATCAATCCTTTTAAATGATTCATCTCAACAAGTCCGTATTTAGACGAAAGACCCATTCAATTAGAGAGAAGCTTCTAAGTAAACACTGCTTTATGAGAGCCAGACAGAGAGAGAGACAACGAGATTAAGAGAGAGTGTGAAAAAGAGAGAGAGACGTGTGACAGAACTACAGAGAGCAAAACTGCAGGGTACTTGGATCAGTGATACTGCCATTTATTCTAGTCACTGTGAAGTAGGTTATAGCTATGTTTCCATCTACTTTAATTTATGTGGGGAAAAATGCAAACCAGTTTGCAAATGAAGCAGAATTTAACTCCAGAAATGTGCAGTATTTTAGAATTAAATAGAATATTAAATGGGAAACAGTAGGACACGGTTTGATTTTATCCATCAGGATTTAACTGGGTAGTGAAAAGGGCTTTTATTGGTTAAGCTTATTTTCCCCACCCCGTGGCCTTGATTACGTCAGCAGAGAAGTAAAATAGTTTTAGAGCCAAAGTAATTTCTCTGCTTCATTTGCTTTTTACATTTTACAAAAACAAAACCATTTTATTTCATTTTGACTTGTTTCTAATAATTATAATTATATATTTTACTACAAATATAGTACAGTTTTTAATTATTATAAATATATTATCTCATAATAATTCTAATATTATTTAACTAGTAATACTAATTATTATTACTAATTTGACAGATTCCTATTTTTAAGACATCAGTGTTATTTAGATACTATTATATTATTTATTAATATTTTAAATTAGTTTTATTAATTGTCAAGGCAAAATTCTAATTTTCATTTAAGTTTTTCATGTAATATTTATATTTTATTATTATTATTATTATTATTTTTAGCTCATTTGGACATTTGAAGTTCAGTGTCCGCTTAAAATTGCAGTCCAACACAAATAAAGATCCAAAACGTATTTGGATTTCTTTTAAAGAAAGACATCACATACAATTTTCAAATGGCAAAATATTTCACAAAAAAGCTATCTATTTCACTAAAACACATTTGTTAGCAAAAGAAAATTAGTTCTGAGAAAGGTTGTGCATTGTTTGTGATGCCACCTGGGTAAATATTGTATCTATGTAATGAAACATTTAATGCTCTAAGTGCTTTTGGGAGCCTCTGTATAGCATATCTACGATGTATTTACCACGCATATTTACTGTCCGTCATTCTGTTCCACTCTGATCATCTGATCTAATCTCTATCTGAACCTGCAGCACATAAATCCTGACCTGGACACATGGGGCAGCAGCTGCCCTCCACGGTGACCGGCTGATGGCAGGGTAAGACAGGACAGCTGACAGTCGAGCAGAGGGTCTGGCCTTGCAGGCAGTAGCAGTGAGTGCAGCTGTCAATGTCCCATCGCTCCTCGTCCATGTACGTCTTCCCGTTGAAATGACACACGGCCCTCGGCGTGGCATCTGGTGAAGAGGTGGGAGAAACATCTCAGTCATAGTCGCGTCATTAACACCCACATATGATCAGAAGGCAACTAAACTTGGCTGTCTGATCTGGGGCAATATGATCTTCAACTGTGCACAGATTTACATACCTAGACAGTATGGGCAACACTGGCCCTTCCTGAGCACAGGCCGTGCGCAGTTGACTGGTGGGCAGGACTCAGAGAAGCAGCTGATGGCTCCGTCTAGACACACACAACTGGAGCAGATGTTGGGCTTCCAGGACTCAGCAGCCAAGAAGATATCACCATCCTCATTCCTGCAGTAGCTGGACATGCTGTTGTTACTGGTCGTCTGAGGGATGACTGGATCATCTGAAGAGAGAGATACATATAAACAGATTTATTTACTATGCAGTCCTTAAACATAATGTGAAATATCCTAGAGCAGAACTTTATTTTGTTCTTTTGGGAATTGGCTACAAAAAGTCAGCGTTCAGTACCAAAATGGAGCTGGACTTGAATATGAGTTTGCTAAAGTATTGGTCTTTTCTTTTCGTTCAAAGTTTTAATCATAGTTAAACAGAAATTTGGCTATTTTGATTATCCAACAGTCCACACAGCTTAGGTGCAGTGTTATTATTATTATTTATATACTATTTTAGTATTTATTAATATTATGAATTAGCTTTTATTTTTATATTTTCAGATTTCATTTTAATTTTAGCTTTTTATTGGTTAAGCTTATTTTCCCCACCCCGTGGCCTTGATTACGTCAGCAGAGAAGTAAAATAGTTTTAGAGCCAAAGTAATTTCTCTGCTTCATTTGCTTTTTACATTTTACAAAAACAAAACCATTTTATTTCATTTTGACTTGTTTCTAATAATTATAATTATATATTTTACTACAAATATAGTACAGTTTTTAATTATTATAAATATATTATCTCATAATAATTCTAATATTATTTAACTAGTAATACTAATTATTATTACTAATTTGACAGATTCCTATTTTTAAGACATCAGTGTTATTTAGATACTATTATATTATTTATTAATATTTTAAATTAGTTTTATTAATTGTCAAGGCAAAATTCTAATTTTCATTTAAGTTTTTCATGTAATATTTATATTTTATTATTATTATTATTATTATTTTTAGCTCATTTGGACATTTGAAGTTCAGTGTCCGCTTAAAATTGCAGTCCAACACAAATAAAGATCCAAAACGTATTTGGATTTCTTTTAAAGAAAGACATCACATACAATTTTCAAATGGCAAAATATTTCACAAAAAAGCTATCTATTTCACTAAAACACATTTGTTAGCAAAAGAAAATTAGTTCTGAGAAAGGTTGTGCATTGTTTGTGATGCCACCTGGGTAAATATTGTATCTATGTAATGAAACATTTAATGCTCTAAGTGCTTTTGGGAGCCTCTGTATAGCATATCTACGATGTATTTACCACGCATATTTACTGTCCGTCATTCTGTTCCACTCTGATCATCTGATCTAATCTCTATCTGAACCTGCAGCACATAAATCCTGACCTGGACACATGGGGCAGCAGCTGCCCTCCACGGTGACCGGCTGATGGCAGGGTAAGACAGGACAGCTGACAGTCGAGCAGAGGGTCTGGCCTTGCAGGCAGTAGCAGTGAGTGCAGCTGTCAATGTCCCATCGCTCCTCGTCCATGTAAGTCTTCCCGTTGAAATGACACACGGCCCTCGGCGTGGCATCTGGTGAAGAGGTGGGAGAAACATCTCAGTCATAGTCGCGTCATTAACACCCACATATGATCAGAAGGCAACTAAACTTGGCTGTCTGATCTGGGGCAATATGATCTTCAACTGTGCACAGATTTACATACCTAGACAGTATGGGCAACACTGGCCCTTTCTGAGCATGGGCCGGGCGCAGTTGACCGGTGGGCAGGACTCAGAGAAGCAGCTGATGGCTCCGTCTAGACACACACAACTGGAGCAGATGTTGGGCTTCCAGGACTCAGCAGCCAAGAAGATATCACCATCCTCATTCCTGCAGTAGCTGGACATGCTGTTGTTACTGGTCGTCTGAGGGATGACTGGATCATCTGAAGAGAGAGATACATATAAACAGATTTATTTACTATGCAGTCCTTAAACATAATGTGAAATATCCTAGAGCAGAACTTTATTTTGTTCTTTTGGGAATTGGCTACAAAAAGTCAGCGTTCAGTACCAAAATGGAGCTGGACTTGAATATGAGTTTGCTAAAGTATTGGTCTTTTCTTTTCGTTCAAAGTTTTAATCATAGTTAAACAGAAATTTGGCTATTTTGATTATCCAACAGTCCACACAGCTTAGGTGCAGTGTTATTATTATTATTTATATACTATTTTAGTATTTATTAATATTATGAATTAGCTTTTATTTTTATATTTTCAGATTTCATTTTAATTTTAGCTTAGATTTTATCAATTTTTTGCACCTTTGTCATTTTTATTCGTTTTTTACATTTCTGTTTAGCTATATATATATATATATATATATATATATATATATATATATATATATATACAGTATATATATATTTATATTTCAGTTCGATGAGCTCTGATCTGCACAGAGATGTGAACAAATGAATTAACAATACAACACATCAACTGACTTTCTGCCTTCACAGTGGCAGTATCAAGATGGTCAGGTGGTACTTTGAATGAACCAGTACATCCTGAATGATTAACATGTTAATCCAGGGTACATTTTTTTTAAATGAACATTTTAATGACTATTGAATAAAAATGTATTATCAAAACAAACCGAATATGTTAAAAAGCAAACAGAATGTGGTAAAATTTTGCTGAAGTGATTGTTTTGAACAAGCATTATCTAATAATAATGAGGGAATATACCTCATACATTATACATACATTTGATTTTTAAACAAAAATTATTTTTATGATTTATTTTTATTCACTTTATTTTGATGGTCCCTTTTGAACATTCTGTTGACAATAAATAATGTTGCACCTACATGTCTACTAACTCTCATCAGAGTTTTAGTACATAGACTGTTTGCTTAATATCTGTTAACTCTTTATTGTCATGGTCTCCCAACAGACATTCTATTGACTATAAGGCTGGCCGCACACTAGACGATTTTCAAATCTTAAACGATTT